TCCAGTATTACATTAAAAAGATCATACCAAGTGGAATTTATTCTGGGGATTCAAGGATGGTACAATATCCACAAATCAATAAATATGGTACACCACATAAACAAACTGAGAGATAAAAACCATATAATCATATCCATTGATGCAGAAAATCCAACACCCATTCTTGGTAAAAAGTCTTAGCAAGTTGGAAATAGAAGGATCATACCTCAACATACTAAAAGCTATATATGACAAACCCACTGCCAACATCATACTCAATGGGTAAAAACTAAAACCATTTCCCCTAAGAACAGGAACAAGACAGGGATACCCCCTCTCACCACTCCTATTCGACTGAAAGTATTAGCCATTGTGATTAGACAAGAAGAAGAAATAAAAGGCATTCAAATTGGAAAAAAAGAAGTAAGACTGCCCTTATTCGTGGATGGTTTGATATTGTACATAGAAAACCCCAAAGACTCCATCAAAAATTTAATAGATTTAATAAATGAATTTGGCAATGTAGCAGGATACAAAATTAACACGGAGAAATCTATCGCTTTTCTATACACCAATAATGAACTCACATAAAGAGAAACTAAAAAAGCAATCCCATTTACCATTGCAATAAAAACTGTTAAAATACCTAGGAATAAATTTAACCAAGGAGATAAAGGACCTGTACTAGGCAAATTCCAGGACTCTTAAAAAAGAGATAGAGGAAGACATGAACAAATGGAAGAATATACCATGTTCATGGATTGGTAGAATCGACATCATTAAAATATCCATACTACCCAAAGCAATCTATAAATTCAATGCAATCCCCATTAAAAAACCAATGGCATACTACAAAGACCTAGAAAAAACTATCCAAAAATTCATCTGGAATATAAAAAGACCCCAAATAGCTGCATCAATCTTGAGAAAGAAGAACAATGTTAGAAGGATCACATTACCAGATACCAAGCTATACTACAAAGCTACTGTTCTCAAAACTGCCTGGTACTGGCACAAGAAGAGGCATAGACCAGTGGAACAGAACAGAGAACCCAGAAATTAACACAAGCCACTATGCTCAATATTTGACAAAGAAGGCAAGAGCATACAATGTAGTCAAGACAGTCTCTTCAATAAATGGTGTAGTCAAGACAGTCTCTTCCAATGTTGGGAAAATTGGACAGATACTTTCAAAAAAATGAAACTAGACTACCAACTTATACCATACACAAAAATAAACTCAAAATGTATAAAGGACTTAAATGTAAGACTGGAAACCATAAAAATACTAGAGGAATCCAAAGGCAACAAAATCTGACATATGCTGAAGCAATATCTTTACCGATACAGCTCCTAGGGAAATGGAAACTAAGGAGAAAATAAACAAATGGGACTACATCAAAATAAAAAGTTTCTGCACAGCAAAAGAAACCATCAACAAAACAACAAGAAGGCCCACTGCATGGGAGAACATATTTGCCAATGTTATCACCCACCAATAAAGGTTTAATCTCTAACATTTATAGGGAATTCATACAACTTAACAAAAGAAAGATAAACAATCCAATCAAAAGATGGTCAAAGGACCTAAATAGACACTTTTTGAAAGAAGACATACAGAAGCCAAGAGATATATGAAAACATGCTTAAAGTCACTAATCATCTGAGAGGTGCAAATCAAAACAACAATGAGGTACTATCTTACACTTGTCAGAATGGCTATCATCAACAAATCAACAAACAACAAGTGCTGGAGAGGATGCGGCGGGGGGGGGGGGGGGGGGGGGGGGCGGGAGGCGGGGGAGGGGTGTGGCGGCAGGGGAGGAACCCTCCTTCACTGCTGGTGGGAATGCAGACTGGTGCAGCCACTGTGGAAAACAGAAAACAGTATGGTGTTTCCTCAAAAAATTAAAAATGAAACTTCCATTTGACCCAGTGATCTCACTTCTAGGATTATATCCCAAAAAAACAGAAACACCAATCAGAAAGGACATATGCACCCTTATGTTCATAGCAGCACAATTTACAATAGCTAAGATTTGGAAACAGCCTAAGTGCCCATCAGCAGATGAGTGGATTAGAAAATTGTGGTACATCTACACCATGTAATACAGTGGGGCCTTGACTTACGAGTGTCCAGACTAATGAGTTTTTCGAGATACGAGCCATCTCTCAGCCGATTTTTTGCTTTGAATTGCGAGCTAAAATTCGGGTTACGAGCCAGCTTCAGATACCCCACTGCTAGTTGGCGCAGCGAACGTCATAGTGAACGCCACAACATCAGCCCAGCATCAGGTGTCTCACTCATTCACAATTGATTTGACATACGAGTAATCTGAGTTATGAGCTCCAACACGGAATGAATTAAACTCGTAAGTCAAGGCCCCACTGTACTAAACTGCTGTAAAAAAGAAGGAATTCTCATCATTTGCAACAGCATGGATGGAACTGGAGAACATTATGCTAAGTAAAATAAGCCAGTCAGTGAAAGATAAATACCACATGATCTCTCATTTGTGGAATATAAAGAACAGTAGAGGCCCAATGCACAAAGATTCGTGCAAGAATAGGCCTTCCTTTCCCTGGATGCCGGCATCGGCTTCCCTCCAGCACCCAGGACCGGACAGCTTTACAATGGCTGTTACCAAGCACCCGGGACCCAGGCTGCTTTGTCTGGTCTCCGCCAGGCATCCGGGACTGGGGCTGCTTCACTCCGGCCACCACCACCACCCACAGGACCCAGGCTGAGGTGGTCAATGCCACCTCATGGTGACCAGTCGTTTGCTTGTTTTGGTCATGACGCCTCTTGGCCTTTTATTATTGATTATAAACTGATGAACAATAATAGATACAGAGGCAAAGAAGCATCAAACAGACTGTCAAACTACAGGGGGAAGGCCGGGGAGGGTTGCAGAGGGGGGTAAGAGATCAACCAAAGGACTTGTATACATGCATATAAGCGTAACAAGCGGACACAAGACACGGGGTGGAGGGGGAAGCGGAGAGGGTATGTGCCAGGGGGTAGGGGAGGCCGGGGGAGGTCAATGGGAGGAAAAAGGAGACATATGTACTACTATTTGTAATACTTTAAACAATAAAATAAAATTTAATAAATAAATAAAGATAGAAGAAAATGTATAAAATAATAATAACCTAAAAAGTAATAATAATGAGTAAAATAAAATATAGAATAGGAAAAGAAAACTGGGTAAGAAAAGAGAAAGGAAAAAAATTAAATTAAAAATTTCCTAAAAGTAAAGAGAAAGAGAAAAAAATAGACTGAAATGAAAGATAACAATAAGAGAATATGAAAAAAAAGAGAGAAAGAAAAGAAGAAGAAAAACCAAACCTCCCAAAAACAAAAAAAACTTTTACATTTGCTATTTGTGAAGCTTGCTGGATTTTACTCCAATGTTATTGGATCTGGCCACTTGGTGTGAGGCCTCAGGCCTCCCTGGCAGTTCTCTGGAGAATTGCTGTCCCTGCCTGGCCCTGGGCAACCTGACCGAAGCCCTGCAGGGCAGAACCCCATGTAGTCGGTGAGCGGGGCCTCCCTAGCCCAGGGGCTGAGTCAGCTTCAGGTCTGCTCTCTCTTTCCCCAGGGAACTGGACTCTGTGGGGAGTGGTCCTGGTTAGTATGATTTAAACAGACTGCTGTTGGGGGTGGTGTTCTTAGCTTATAGAAGGGATAGGCAGGCACTTCCTCTCCTCCTAATGCCTCAGCTCTGCCTGTGTCACTGGCACCCCCTTGTCCCTACCTCAAACAGGAGGGGATAAAAAACAAACAAAAACACCCCAGCCCCGCTTGGCTCTCTAATCTTTCAGCACAGCTGGCTCTCGCTAGGAAGGGCATCTGCCCAGGCTCCCACCAGGCCAGATGTCCATTCCCCAGGGGCAGATTTCCAGCTCAGAGTCATTCCACAAGTGGGGGAGGGGGCGCCTCCTCTTTGTGGGAGGTGGGGAGGGTGGCGCCTCTTTCCTAGGGCACACTGTCTGGCCCCCAACCTGCTCTCTGCTGAAAGTTCTTTCAGAGAATAATCTGACCCTCAGATTCACTGCTGGGTGATCTGTTCAGACCCCTCTGTGGGTCTGGAGTTCTGCTGCATGGCCCTTCCGCAGACACCCTCTGGGCGAGCTTCCAGGCTGATGTTGAAATTAAGCATTCTGCCTGGGATAGTGTGGTCTGAGCATTTATTATACACAAGGCAGTCTATATTATCTTATCTAGTACTCAAAACAACGCTGTAGGATAAATTTATAACTATCTCCATGTTACCAATGAGGAAACTAAAGCACAAATTGAGGTGGACCATATGAATTCATATTAAATCAAAAGCAAAACAAAAACTAAAAAACAGGGAAGTTCAAGGGAAAGATCCAGTTGTGTGCTAGAGCCAGCTTACACCAGCCCACAGGAGCTGACTGTGAGCTCACTGTGAAATTCCAAACCCTGGGTTTCCTGACTTCACTTTGGGAACTTGGACTTAGCTATGGTGAGGCATTTACATTATCGGCAAGTACTACAAGTCAAGGCTTTTTCAACTTCCCCACCCCCAGGAGGCTGGTTGTTAAATAAACACTTAACAGCAAAGAGGTGGGAAAAGCTCATGTATGTTCAAATGATAAGATAGGTAAGACCAAAGGAAAATCAAAGATTTAAGGAGATTTACTTGTGTCAAAGTCAGAGTGCTACAGCTGCCAGAGCCCCAATTTGAACTCTGAGCCAGAGCTGAGTACTAATCATTATTCTCTGCAGGATCAGACTTGGGACAGTGCTTTTATTTGCACTGTCTTTCTGCATTTTGGTTAATGGTCTAGCCCCACATTAGTGGAGTCTCTCCAACATGACTTTGGCTTAGAAATATTTTTCTCACTTCAGGTTTCCAAACTTTGACTATTAAATATAGAAAGGGAAATACAGATATACTCTGTTCAAGTGGAAGTACCAAAAAAAAAAAAAGCCTCTGTAAAGAATGTTCAGAGATGAGAAGGCTGATGAAAAAGGAATCCTTGTTCCTCACCTTCTCTACATCTCCCAGTCCCTCGGTGTCCAGCAGAACCAGGGTGTGATTTGGTTCCTCTGGATGAGGCACACACCACATCCAGATTCCCTTGGTGTGAGACTGCACCGTGGATCCAACAGAGAAGCCTGCAGGGGGAGTACAGAGGTTGTAATAGATGAGGGATCTGGAAATTAGAGATGTTCTTGACAAATGAGCTAGGGCTTAAGGAGAGCAAGACGTGGAGATGGAGCAAAGAATAACCATTATTGATCTGAACTGCAATAGAGAGATGGGAAAATAAGAGTATCAGGCACCACAGGTTGAAAACTTGATGATTTTTTTAAACAAGAATGTTATGCTACTAAAATTTTAATAGTTTATAATTTGATATATATAGTAGAGGCCTGATGCACAAAATTCATGCATGGTGTGTGGGGGGGTCCCTTCAGCCCAGCCTGCAGCCTCTCCAATCCGGGACCCCTCAGGGATGTCTGACTGCCGGTTTAGGCCCGATCCCCAAGATCGGGCCTAAACCGGCAGTCAGACATCCCTCTCACAATCCGGGACCACTGGCTCCTAATTGCTCACCTGACTGCCTGCCTGAATGCCCCTAACTGCCCCCCTGCAGGCCTGGTCACCCCTACTGCCCCCTCTGCAGACCTGGTCGCCCCATGCAGCCTGCTGCTCAGTCATTTGGTTGCCCCTCACTAACCCCCCCTGCCGATCTAGTCTCCCCACGCAGCCTGTTCAGTCATCCATTCAGTTGTGATGGTTGCTTAGGCTTTTATATATATAGATATGTTGTTTTATTGATGTCTTCCTCTTTATGATTAGAAAACATTTTGCTTTTTCCAAGAAGCTATTAAGTAAAATAAAAAGAAGTGATATTTCAGAAACAGACCTCTGTCCTTTACCTCCAAGAAGATAATTAGCCAGCTATGGCCCAGACATTACCTTTTCAATATTCCTGCCCATCTCTAACTTTCTCTCCTCATACTCTGTACTCATGCTGGGAGTGTGGGTGAAAAGGACGACTCGGCAGAGCTTAGCTGTTGTCACTCACCCTCATTCTGCCCAGCCAGTTTGTTCATCAGGTAGGATTTGCCAGTGCGGTAGAGGCCCACAATAGCCACCACAACAAGGGGCTGGGTGATGGCAGAGAGGATCTCCAAAGCTTCCTGATTAACTACCAGTTTCCCTTCGATGTTCTCAATGAGGCAGATTGGGCCTGGCATATGGATCTCTGAGGCCATATCCAGGCTGTGACCTTGTCTGCAAGGAAATAGATGGGATGGATTAGAACTTCCAGTCTCTAAGCAGAGAAAGTCACTTTGCTTCCTGAACCTGGGGACATTCTACTCCCCAGCATGGCCTAAGTTTCTAAAGAAATTATTATTATCTCTTATTTTATTTATTTTTTATTTTTTTTAATATATTTTATTGATTTTTTACAGAGAGGAAGGGAGAGAGACAGAGAGTTAGAAACATTGACGAGAGAGAAACATCGACCAGCTGCCTCCTGCACACTCCCCACTGGGAATGTGTCCACAACCCAGGTACATAATCGAACCTGGGACCTTTCAGTCCGCAGGCCAATGCTCTATCCACTGAGCCAAACTGGCTTCAGCTATTACATTTTAAATGACAGCAAAGCAGGTCATAGGAAAATAAGTCCTAAGTCCGCCAGAGGTCTACTATAGGGTACTCTGCTGCTTCTTAAATATTTATGGGCTCATGGAAAACCATTCCCTGAATCTCATCTATTGCTAGTTTTAATCTGACTCTCCTCGGCTGGTTTTTGGCTTGCTTATGTTTCTTAGTTTTTACCTCCCTGAATCCCCATATGGAATTTTTATGAGCACACTTTATTATATTACATTTCTTGCTTTTACCCCATCCAAACTTGCTTTTCTGTAATGTAGGGGTATGTCCAGAGAAAGTGTATTATAAATCCTGGCAGGTCATTACATAGCATTATTGAACAAATCATGGTTGTTTAAAATAATTTTTATGTAGCTATTAGTGTGCCTTTTTCAATCAAAACATTTAAGGCATGATCAATTTATGAATGAAAAAATGAGTGAAAATACTTTTTAAAAAATATATTTCTATTTCAGAGAGGAAGGGAGAGAGAGAGAGAGAGAGAGAGAGAGAGAGAGAGAGAGAGAGAGAGAGAGCGCAAAACATCAATGATGAGAGAAAATCATTGATTGGCTTCCTCCTGCACACCCTCTGTGGACTGAGCCCGGAACTCAGGCACGTGCCCTGACTCGAACCATGCCCTCTTGGTTCATAGGTCAGTGCTCAACTGAAAAGACTTTTAAAAATAATACTTAACCATTTATTTAGGGGCATCAATTCCTATAACCTCATAAAATGTGTTTAAGCTAGCTGAGATTTAGGCAAATGCTTGCTCTTCTGCCTTGCCTTATAAAGAACAATTTTCTTTCATTTTATAAGTGATTATTTACTACAGAAGCTAAAATCCCACCATTTGCTTGACTTTTTTTTTTTCCACTGAAATCTTACAATGAGCACATCTGGATTTCCTTATTAGTTGACTGTAAAAACAGCTTTTGAAAAATTATAAAGACACATTCTCCCCACTTCCTTATAGCCAGTGCCCTGGAGATCATCCAGGTACAGATAGATAAAAACAGAACTGCTTGGGAGCAGATAATTGCAAATGGCATAGCACCAGGGAATCAGAAAATGCCTAGTGCAAGCCAGGTCCAGAAAGAGCGGATTCCATGTGATTTTACAGATTCAAATGCCAAGTTTCATTTATTTCTAGTCCACTTCCCATGCAATATTAGCAACTTATCTTGTGGAGTTCTGTTTGTCTGATTTGTATAAAGCAGGGGTTATAATATTTTTAGATTAGAAAAATGGGACTGGCAGTGATGATCTACAACAATTAGGAAAGCAGAAGGGACACAATCTAAATCTATTTGCGGATAATGGGGGCTGACAAGATACTGCATTTCGGGATGTGGTCACTAATGGGAGAGAGAACTACTTTGTCTGACTTCTCAGACCTCCAATGAGTAACATTCGATCTGTATATCTATATATTAATAAAGGTGTTTTACAAATTGTTCCCCGCTGTTATCTGGTTAACATTTTTAACACTTTTAGGAAAGCCCAGTCTCCCAAATCTTTGCAAATTAGATGTGTTCAAATCCTATACTTACCTATTGCTCTGCCTTTTATAGCTTAGCCTGTGATGTGTGCTCTGAGATGCATTCTAACACTGTTAGAGGCTCATTACCTTTCATACATGAAAACAATGTAAAAATGCATTTCACACAGGCATGCACACACACACATACACATACTTATTTTGGCTTTAAAGCCAGGCACAACTGATTTCCAATCCCAGCCCTGCAACTGGCGATCTGAATGATATCGCATTTCACGCAACACTCTAAGCCTGTTGTCAAAATAATGGAAGTAAATAAGTTAATTAATATCTATTTATGTTAGTAGTAGCGCTAGCTTAAGAGAGAGAGAGTGAAAGAGAGAGACAGATACTGGCATACACAGAACCAGGTCTGTAGGAACATAAAAAAAAAAAACTGTAAAGAAGGAAAATCCCAAGAAATCTTTTTTGAAGGCTCAGAAATGCTAGTAATGGGGTTTCTAGAAGAAAATATCGCTATTTTCAGCCATAAAATTCTAGGTTTTTTTTTGTTGTTGTTGTTGTTGTTAAATTGTTGCTTGCTTTCGCTTTGATTTGTGTTGTTCCTTGGTTTGAATTTGGAGGAAGAGAAAAAGGAATTTGTCTCTTATCAAGGGGACAAATGGGGAACTGAACAAGAAGGAGATGCATGGAGCTTGTGATAAGAAATTCGAAGGAGGAGAGAGTTCTGAGGAATAAACAAAATTACCAGGCTGTAATGAGGGTCAAGTTGGGTAAATGTTGAATCAAGTGATAGTAATAACAGAGGCATTAGACTAGTAGAAACAATCCAACATAAAGGGCCTTAAGGAAAGAGTAGATACAAAAAATCAAAACTAATTGATTCATGCTATTTCTAAAGGAAGAAATCTACCTTCAAACAATGTACAAGACTATGACTAAAAATATATAGTTGTTTTCATGAAAGCTCTTTATTATTCATTTTAGGTTTTAACTTTTTTGGCCTTAACTATGTAAGCAAGCTATTTACATTGCATATCGTTCATTGCTCTCTCACAAAAATAATAGTTATAGCTGTTGAAATTTTCAGGATGACGTTTTAACTGACTTAATCAGGGTTTATCAAAGATTAAGATAACTGAAGTGGCAATTATGATCCCCATAGGTCACTGGTCAGCAAACTGCAGCTCGAGAGCCACATGCGGCTCTTTGGCCCCTTGAGTGTGGCTCTTCCACAAAATACTGACTTCTGCACATGGGCTAGGAAGTTTTAATCGCACTGTACGTGCGCACCCCCACGTGGTATTTTGTGGAAGAGCCACACTCAAGGGGCCAAAGAGCTGAATGTGGCTCGTGAGCCACAGTTTGCCGACCACTGCCATAGGTCATAAATTGGCAAAGGAAGAAAAACAGTGTTGAGACATTTCAAATTCCGGTTAGTCTCTACACATGTTTCTGTGTAGCTCAGCAGGAAGCAAATGTAGCTGGCACTTAATGAATGCTGCTTCCTGTCTGACGGCACCTCAGTTTCATTTTTAATTAAGTCTGATATCCCACACCAGGTTCAGCTGCAGCTTATCCTGGATAAAATGTTTTTAAAACCTCCTGATGCTTGTACATCTTTTACCACCCTGGCCCCAATCTTACCTTAAGTATAACATCAACGGCAGGTATCTTTTAGAGCTGGTAACAAAGCTGATCCTGGAGATTGTTGTGAGTCCTAACTCTGCCTCTCAGTTTAACTGTGCTGGTTTCTGGTAAACTTCTTCCCAACCAAATCCTGGGGATTTTATTTTTCTTTATAGTCCCCTTCCCCTCACACACAGAGAGAGTAGAGGATTAGAAGTTGGTTTCCCAGAAAAACCAAGACGGCGGCATAGATAAACAGCGGATATTGTTGCCTTACACAACCACTTCAAAAATACAACTAAGGGAAACCAGCCATCTTGAAGAAGGGAACTGCTTGAGACTGGGATCCTAGCCTCACCACCACCCAGTCTGATCTGGTAGCAAACCAGAACCCCACAGCCGCTCTGGTGGAAGACCTGCGACCACAGCTGCAGACCCAGGGACACCCAGACTCCAGGCACCCGGCCGCAGATTTCTGTGAGTCACAAAGCCAGTTCCCCGCCCCAGCCGCCCGGGGGCAGCGGCACAGGAACTGCCAGACCTCGGCTGCACAGTGGGGCTGTCTGCACTCACTTAGCAGCAGCAGCAGCAGCAGCTCTGCCTGACTTTTAGCCTTGGTGTCGAACTCGGGGAGTTTGTTTCCCACGATCAGACTCCGCAGGCGGGCAGACTGTGCTGAATTTGAGCCTGGGTGCGCATACTTGGTGAGAGTGTTTCTTGGGACCAGATCCCACGCCCACGCAGGGCAGGGAGACAGCACTGAGTTTGAGTCTGGATGTGCGTGAACTAGGGGAATCTATTTCCCGCGAATAGGCTATGCACCCAGGCAGGGAGACTGCTGAGTTTGGGCCTGGGTGCGCATTGTTGAGGACACTGTTTTCTGCGACGGGGTCCTTGCCCACACGGGGAGACAGCGCTGAATTTGGGCCTGGGGGTGCAGACCCGGGGAGTCTGTTTCCCACAACCAGACCCTGCACCCTAGCAGAGAGACTGCGCTGAATTTGAACCTGGATGTGCCAACTCGGGGAGTCTGTTGCCCTCGCCCAGGCGCTGCGCCCAAGCGGGGAGAGGGTGCTGTATTTGAGCCTAGGTGCGCAACCATGGGGAGATTGTTTTCCGAGACCAGGTCCCGAGGCCACGCGGGAAGACAGCACTGAATTTGAGCCTGGGGCATGAACCCAGTGAGTTTGCTTCCCATGACCAGACCCCACACCCAAACAGGGAGACTGCCCTGAATTTGAACCTGAACATGCAAACTTGAGGAGTTTGTTCCCTGTGACCAGACCCCATACCCACGCAGGGGGGCAGCACTGAATTTGAACCTGGGTGCTTGGACATGGGGAGTCTGCTTCCTGCAGTGCACACCCAGGTGACCAGACCCCACACCCACACTGTGCAGCAGTGCCACCTGACTTTGATTCAGGGCAAGAACACAGAGAAGGCTGTTTTCCACAGGGCAGGAGTGGGCCTCCTGCCAACACAGTGTGACTGTGCAACCCGA